ATCTCTCCCTCCCTCCTGTCGGCGGTGTTTTTTGCGTATTTTTACATCCAGCCTAAGAACTGGTAGTTGGATCACCGGCTCGGGGGTCTGGGACTCCCCTTTCCCCCTACTGGGGAGGGTGGGGGTTGCGCAAACAGTGGCACGGCAATGTGATGTCATGCTAGTTTTCAAATTTTTGTTTGGGGAGTTCTCTCCACTCGTTCAGCTTTCAGTAGCAATAGTTTCACCAGAATAGGTGTTTGTTTTGGGACGCCTACCTTTCTGGATGTCAGACCCGGTCGATGGCAGACATAGAATGCTTCCAACCACATGGGGGGTTTCTATAGGTCATTTCTTCTCACACCTCTCTGAGGGGGCCAGGTTGTAGCTCGTGGTTCCCAGTAGGCAAGAACTCCATGCACATTGACTGATGCCAGAAAGTTGTACATATCCATTCCAGGCTGGATAACTCCGGAAAGCCTCCGGGACTCACCCAGAAAATGGCGTTTTATTACATTCAACGCTGTTTTTTTTTTTGTTTCCTCATGATCAGAGACTGCATTTTAACAATATAAGAAGAGAAAATAATTTTTTTGAAAGAATTTATTTTTGGCACACCACAGCACGGTATGCAAAATATGACACGGCGTGTCATATTTTAATGCAGAGTAGTGCAGTGGTTAAAGCTTTCAAAATGTTGTCTCTGAAATGGAGATGAGAGAGGTATAAAATATTATATACAGGGAAGATACTGGAAGGTCAGGTCTCAAATTTGCACAGTGGAAAAACAACATATTGGAGCAAAAAATGTGGAAGGAAATGCCGTTTCAATAAGTTTATAATAAATAAGCGTGCATGTGTGTGGAAGAATTATTTGAAATGGTAAGTACAGTACATAGCTGTAAGTATGCATTTCTTAACATTTTGGAACCAGTATTACAAGTCCTAGATGAGCAGGTTGAGTTTTGTGGCTTGATATTTTTATGTTCGTGTCACCAGAAATATATTTCATTATTTGCTTGATTTACTATTGCAGCTCACAAAAGTCTGATTGTGAATGTTTATTTGTAATGAAGCGTGACTTTTACAATGAGTTTGCTGGATTGTCATCAGTACGCCATTCATGTGATTTTCTAATTACTACAGGTTATTGTAACTGAATAGCAGTTGTTGATTTGCAATTAAAAAATAGGTGGTTTGAAGGGTAAAATAGAATGAATTAGTTCTGTTTATCAAACAGGTTTAGTTTTTATTAATTCAAGTGCTAATATTTTTGCACTTGCATTATTATACTGTTTAATGCACTCAAATTCTTCTTCTTGTGTGGCTGAGATAGAAAAGCCCATTAGGACAATATTGTTTCAATAAATTGTTTTCATTAACGTTAATTCATGACAAATACAGGTGTCATTTTCATTGACTTATATGTTCGGCTTTAAATGAAAGTAAATGCTATATTAATATGATAAAATTATTTGACACAATATAAAATTTGAAAGATTCCAAGGTATAACATTCATTTATATATTAGTTTCCATGTAATATAAATTCTTTGTAAAATATATTTGAAATTCCTGTTCTAAAATTTCTTGGCACTCTAAGGGGATGATTTTCAATATATATCATCTCTATGTATGAACTTAAAGATTACTGTATGGTTGATTTTTATGCCACCATAAAATAGTCATTATTAAAAATGATTTCTAATCCTTTAAAGAATTAGTGTTGCAAGATACTAATAGAGTTAAGGTAGAAGCAAAGTAACACCACATAATTCATACATGAATCAGAATATTTTGTGGGAAGCCCTGTCGGCTCCCGTAAGCTATCAGAACTGATATGTGCTAAATTAGTTTGGGGTCATCAGTCACAGGAGTTCTTATGCCTACCGGGGACCACGAGCCAGAACCTGGTCCCTCCAGAGAGGTGTAGGGAACAATGGCCTATGAGCACCTTACATTTAAATTGTCATAATTGCCAATTAACGGGAAAGGACCCAGAAAGGTAGGCGAATCAAAACAGACCACTGTCTGGTAAACCTATACAATCTATGTCCTAAAATATCAAAATAACTCCCCCTAGTAAGAAACCAAACAAGTAACACTTCATGCAACAAATACTCCCGCTCATTAGGCCCCCCCCCTCCCACCTCCAAAGGGAGGAGGGGGGACCCAGCTCACCGGAGCTGGCAGCCCACCACCTGTCAATGCCTTGAACTGATATGCTGGCAGTTGAACGTCATCTCTTGCCTCGGTTATCTTTTCTGGATTTTTGCCCTGTGTTCCAGCTGTGTGTGTGTGGTGTGGTGGCCAGGTGTCTTAGAGTGTGGGAGCTGCATGCGCCTACCTGGATCTTTACTAGGTGCTGTGTAAGTACTGCACTTGCGTGTCAGGGTTATCTTCCCTTGAGGCGTTCAGGAATTACTCCGTGTTTAAGGACTTCGTCGCTTGACGTTGTCTTCACTCTTAGGGTACATCAGGTGTCTTGGGCTTTCCATCTTGCCCCGAGTAGGGGAGTATTATTGGCTGGGGTGGGGCGCACTGTGGCATGCGCAGCTATCTTTACTTGAACATAGGTGGCCAATGTTTCTCTCTGACTGCCAGTTTGTTTGCTGTGTGTCTTCGGGGGTTTTCGTTTTTCTTTTCTGGCATTTTTGCTTTTTGTAAACGTAGGGCATCTGCCTAGTTTCTTATTAGGCTAGCCTAGGTTGTGTTGGTGGTGGTCCTCTGTTGCCCCTGAGGTTTCACAGCTGCTACTGGTAGTCAGTTTGCCTGCTATTTGACAGGGTTCTACCGGCTTAGCTGGCCCCAGTGCCTGGGCTTCATGTGGGGCTGATTCACCCTACAGGCCCTGGAAAACCCCCTGTGGGCTCGGTGGTACCATGAATACTGCTTCCGAGTCATCTCTCGCCCTGTGCAAAGTCGTAAGTTATTCGGCACTCTTGCCTCAGGGAGACGATCATCCATCCTCTCTCCGTCATGCTGCCTGTTGGGTCGGGGACTGCACCGACCTGGAGTCTTGTGGGACTTGTTCCCCACTTGTGCTTCAATTTCACTTATTCCTTATCTGATGATCTCCGGAATCAGGCAACAGCTGCGTTGAATGCTTGATTCTCATTCTTGCAATGGCCTGGTTGGTTGCCCATGTGGAGGCCCTGGAGCTGCCCCACTTGGGTGTTAGGGACTCTGATTTGGGTGCGTTGGTCGTTTCGGCCTTGGTTCCGTCCGTGCCTCCACTTCGTTCCCAAACATCTGAGGGTTTTGAAGTCGAGGCGGGGTTTAGCTTCGGATGAGGATCAGGTGGCTTTGGAGGCTGCCCCCTTCCGATTCGGACGCGGAGGTTGTTGAGCCCATTTTCCCGCCGGGGCTTCTGGGTCAACCCAACAGATTCACTTCATGGAAGCCTTTTCCCTGGACTCTCCCTTTTCTTCAGGGGTGGTGGGCTGTGACTCATACGCCAGGCTGCGAACAGTCACGTCCAACAGCCTGGTCGACCAGTCCAGCAACCAGGAGGCCTGGTCGATGACCGGGCCACTGGGACGCTAAGGCCCGAAAACGCCTCAAGGTTAAGGTGGATGAGAGCTGCTTGGGGCCATTGTCGGGGGTTGCTGAGACTCGGGAGAGTCGACTTGGAGCTCTTGAACTCCTTTTGACCCTGCTTAGGCTTTTGTGACCTCTGGGCAGGGCACAAGTGGGCACAAGCAGGTCTGGGCAGAGGTTGTTGCTGCAGGGGGAGGTTTTTTTTCGTCACCACCTTCTCTTTCTAAATTCTACCTGCTAATTCTATCTACCTTATTCTACCTGCAGGCCACTGGTTCTGTGTTGGTGGATGCTCTCTGGGTGGATCCGGTTTTCCTGGTTCCATGTTCCAGGGCTCATGTGTTTCGGGTTGTCCGCAGTGTCATTAAGTCTAGCCAACCTGCGGTGTACCCTCGTGCCCATGATGTTTGGAAGTGGGCTGCTCTCGCAGGGGGGTTTTGGCTACATGTCATGGATCGCCATTCACGCACGGGGGTTTTGGTGGTAGAACAGTCCTGGTCACCAGGTATCTTGTGAACGTTCCATTTCCTTCCCGATCTTGTGAGGCGTTGGGTCGCCTGTCGCAGGTGTCTGTTTCTTCTTTGTCTTGAGACCTGCAGTGCTGCCCCTCCCCCCTCCCGGGTTAGTCCCTGTTTTCCTTATCTTATAGTTATCTATATAGTTATCTATATCTATATTTTCCTTATCTATATAGTTAGATTCAGGAAGCCGACAGGACTCCCCCCCCCCCCCCCCCAGAAAACCAGCATTAAAGGTAATGAAGCACCATATTCTGAATGAAATTTTGAAGATCCCTGACACCCTCCCTCCCTCTGGTCAGTGGTTTTCATCATTCAAGATCTGGGGTGGTGGGCAGTCAGCACCAGTGAGCTGGCTTTCCCTCATCCCTTCTGGGGGTGCTAGTTACATGAAGTGTTGCTTGTTTGGTTTCTTTCTAGGGGAGTTATTTTGGTCTTTTAGGACGTAGATTGCACAAGTAAACCAGACAGTGGCCTGTTTTGATTCGCCTACCTTTCTGGATCCTTTCCCGGTAGATGGCAGTTATGACATACAGTACTTTAAATGTAAAGAGCTCGTAGGCCATTGCTCCTTGTGCCTCTCTGAGGGGACAAGGTTCTGGCTCATGGTTCCTGTTAGGCATAAGAACTCCTGTGACTGATGACCCCAAACTAATTTAGCCCATATTAGTTCGGATAGTTTCAGGAAGCCTCTGGGGCTCGCCCACGAAATGGTGTTTCATTACATTCAATGCTGGTTTATTGCCTTAATGCATTAATATTCTGTGTTACTCATACTAGGATTGGAGAGTCCCACTTGGCACAAGGTACACATTATTGTATAGGCATTGTAAGTAACTAATTACTAATTGCTGTTCTTCTGTGTCCCAACATTACAGTATCTGTAGTAGAATCTTATGTTGACATCTTATTCTTTTTTTTTTTTCCGTTTTTGTGCCCCGTAAATTCCCTGGGACGAATTTAGGCAGAGGTTGATGTAAGTACTTCTTCCCACCGTTCCCTCTGGGTGTCTGGTTTCTTATGCAGCGTAGATGTTTGAGCTGGTTATTAGGTGTTTATATCCCCTTCCCAGCCTTCCTGAGGAATGAGTTAAGGGTCTCAGGCATGAGTAATAGAAACAGAAGATAGTACCTCCTCATCTTCTATTTTGGAAGATACAAAGTTTTGGATGGTTTTTAAACATTCTATTGAATCAAAATAAAGCTTAATTTTTGTAATGCATTCCTTGTCATTATTGATCATTTCAATAAGAGAGCATATTTTCTGGGGGAAACCCCGTTGGCTCCCTGAAGCTAACTGAACTGATATGCACTTTATTAGTTTGGGGTCATCAGTCACTGGCGTTCTTAGCCTACCGGGAACCACGAGCCAGAACCTGGCCCCTTCAGAGAGGTGCAGGGAGTCCTCACATGGCAAGCAGGCCTCCTACTTCTAACATCCCCTCCCTCACTCTCACTGCACGTCTCCCCCACTCCCTCACTCCTGCTCTCCCCGCAACCCGTTCTCGCACTTGCTTATAGTCAATATTTGGCTTATGAATAAGTACATATGTGACATACTAATTAATTGTGAATATTTGAGTTTACCTTGAAAAGCTGAATAGAAAACACCGACCTAACCTCCCTGGAAACACAAACCGTAACTGTCTCTATTTTTCGCTTGTTACAACTTGTAATAAACTTGTTACATCTTGGCTTAATGTGTTTATGACATATTAGAATGTTGTTACAACTTGCTATATTGGTTGTTATAACTGGTTAGGTGGTGTTAAAACTTGTTCGAACGTTGTAGCAATGTCGTAGTTTTGGTGTGTGTTTGGTGGGGCTAACTTTCTTAGTATGTTAAGATAAGCATTTTATTACTTCTTAATTACAATTAGTACTTAACTTATACCTATATTGATATTACAGTTATGTTAAACTTGGAATATATCACATTATGTACTTATTAATAAGCCAAATATTAACTAAGCAATAAGTCATATATGTAGTGTCTTATGCGAGAGCGGTTGCCTCCCTCCCTCCCCTCCCTCCCTCTCTCCCCTCCCCTCCATCAATCCATCCATCCTTCCATCCATCTCCAGGTCTCTTCGGTCTGTGGTTCTTTGGGGCTGGTCGCTTTGGGTGGCACTTCTGCTGAGATGTCGGAGTTTAGCTATCTGTGCTGTTTACTTCAGGGCGTGTCCTGCATTTTGGTAGGTGGCCTGTCTCATTTCCTTCCTCTTTCCGCGAGGTGGACGGTCGGTACCGTGTCGTTCAGGTGGCTTTGCCAGACGTACAACTGCCTGGGAGGTGGACCTCTTCGCGTTGATGTGGGCTCGGCGTCTTCCCCGGTTTGTGGCGTCGTTTTCCAACTGCAAGGCTGTCGCAGTAGAGGTTTTTGGCAGATCTGGTTGGGGTAGGGGTTTCTTTACCTCTTTCTCCCCCGGGCCAGCTGTCGTTCCAAGTCCTGGCTCACTCTGAATCCTTTTAAAGGGAGGGTTCTTATTCTGGCTCCATGGTGGCCAGCCCGGCCTTGGTTTCAGGTGCTGCTTGCTCTGTGTCCGAACCTGGGGCATCTAACAGTAGCTCCGTCTCTACCGGCGGTTCGGGCCAGTGAGGTACCTTGCTAGTTTCTGTTATTGCTCTGCACTTTGCGTCTGGTTTTTTTGACATGGATGTATTGCCATTTGTATGGTTATCCAGTGATTTCTTTGATGGTGTCCCACCTGCGGTCTTCTTCCAGGTGGCAATATGAAGTCTCTTGGCAGTCTTTCCGCGAGTTCCTATCTCTTGGGTGGTTTTCACTAATTTTGGACTATGTTGTTTTGTCCTTTCTCTCTTGGCTCTTTTTGGACCAGCATCTCATACTTTTGCTTTGTTTAGCTGCATACTGTTACTTTGTTTCGTGTGGTGTTGACTTATGTTCGGGGTGGATGTTACTTCCACTCCATTCGGCAAGTTTTCATGTGTGTTTTTTTCTGAGGCGTCATGAGCCCCATGAGTCTGTCGGGTCTTTGGACCGGGTTCTTTCTTTTCTTTCTTCTCATTTTGTTGTGGCCCCTTCGGTTAGTAATTATTTTCATAAGGCCTATTTTTTTTTTTTTGTTGGCCTTAGCTTCTGGGGCTCAGGTCGGGGAACTTCATGCTCTCCTCCAGCACTGGGGTTTCTGTTCTTTTGGTCGTGGGGGTCCTTTTTGTTCGGTTGCAGCTGTCTGTTTCTTATCTGGTGAAGAATGAAATGGCTGGCTTGCGAGGGGGTCCTCCCGTGGTGGATAATTGGTTGTTTAGGCCAGGGGTGAATCATGGTGTCTTTTCTGGTGGCAGCTTTACGCCACTTCCTGTGGGTCACCGATTCTGTGATGGTGGACGCTCTTTGGGTGGATCCGGTTTTCCTGGTTTCCTGTTCCAGGGCTCATGTGTTACAATTGTCTGTGGTGCCATAAAATCCAACGAGCTTGTGGTCTACCATTATGCCTATGATGTGAGGGAGTACACGGCGCTTGCTGTAGTGTTTGGTTACATGTCTTGGGCTGACATTAGGGCACGGAGGTTTTGGAGGTTGTACAGGGTCCTGGCTGCCGGGTACCTCGTGGATGGTACAGGGCCAGTCTGGCCTTGTCGCTTTGTGGTGTCTGTCGTAGCCGACGGTTCCTTCATCGCATTGAGACATGGGGTGCTGCTGCCTTCCGGGTAGGTTCCTGTTTTTCCTTAATTTCTCTATGGGTAGTAAGCTTCTGGGAGTCGACGGGGCTTCCCCCAAAAAGACAGCGTTGAATGCAAATAAACACCCTTTTCTGGGGTTAGCCCTTGAGACTCTTGACACCCTCCCTCCCTTCTTCCGGTTGGCGGTTTTCATCAGACTTCGTCCTGGAGGGGTGGACAGTGGGGCCGCCTGAGCTGGCCCCTCCTCTCCCTTAGGAAGGGGGGATCTACTAATAAGTGGGAGTACTAGTTTGAGTTGCTAGTTGCAGTTTGTTTATTATATTGAAAGGTAGTTTCTTTGCTCTTTCAGACTGTAGGTCTTGTTTTACCAGCTAGTTGCATGTTTTGGTCCGCCAATCTTTCTGGGCTACTGCCTCGGTTAGTGGTGAAATTTGACAATATGTACTTTAAATGTAAAGTGCTCATATCCCATCGCTCCCTGCGCCTCTCTGGGAGGACTAGGTTTTGGCTTGTGGTCCTCGGTAGGCTCAGAACTCCAGTGACTGATGACTCCAAACTAATAAAGCACATATCAGTTCGGTTAGCTTCAAGGTGCCTCCAGGGCTACTTCCAGAAAAGGGCGTTTCATTACATTCCATGCTGGCTTTTTCATGGAAAATTCAATTAACCCAAATATCTGAACATTTGAGGATGAGCATTGTCATCTGTTACCCTTCAACATTGTGATATCTACTTGATGCATGATGTTGGGTAACTTTACAGATGTAGTCAATTTTTTCTTTGTTGTTGAGGAATTAAATAATTTTGATAAATTTGCAAGAGGCTTAATTTTAACAGATGTATTATTTCTCTGGTATAGTAGCTTGAATAATTCCCATTTGTAAATATTAATTACACATGCACACCACATGCATCTTTGTTTATATTATAGACTAAATCTAGCATTAGACTTGAAAAGATACACAGATTACCAGATGCTGCAACTTAGTGTCATGTGTAGATACCATCCATAATTGTAATTTTACCTAACCCTAAATAATAAAAAATCCTTACAAAGTATTGTATGCCAATGTATAAGTTTGTAAATGTTGCATGACAGCCTTATTCAGTGGAAGCCCCTCAATATAATATTTTTGCTCCTACTGGCATCACTGTTATCATTACAACTACCATAATGAATACAGGACTTATTTCAAGGAGTTTACAGTACTGCAAAGCTATTTTTAAGTTCAGTACCTTCTTAAATATTTGAAGAACATTGTTCTACTTAACACTTAGAGCGGCTTTGTGTGCGCACCCCAGCCCACCCCAAGTTGAGCCGAGCGTTTCTCCATAAGCGCGCACCCACACTAAGATGTGTATACTCTTTTACGTTTTCTCACCTCAATTTTCATGGTACGTCGTTCATTTTGGTATCAAATTGTTCGCAATAGAATTCTCTAAAGGGATTTATGCATACAAGGTCAAAGCACCCAACCCAAAAATTGGCGAAGTGTTACCCATGAGTGCGCAACCATGCTAAAATGTGTATACTCTTTTCAGTTTGATAACATCAATTTTTGTGTTGCGTTGTTCATTACACACAAAAATCACAATTGCGTGATGCATCAAATGAACAAATCCAGAAGGGCCGTGACGAGGATTCGAACCTGCATCCGAGATCATCCCAGACGCTGCCTTAATCGACTGAGCTACGACATGGTCAAAAGGAGTTGAAACCGAAGTTCTATCGATCCAGTAAGTTCAATAGAACTTCGGTTTCAACTCCTTTTGACCATGTCGTAGCACAGTCGATTAAGGTAGCATCTGGGATGCTCTTGGACGCAGGTTCGAATCCTCGTCTCGGCCCTTGTGGATTTGTTTACGTTGTTCATTTTGGCATCAAATTGTAAGCAATAGAATTCCCTAAAGGGATATATGGATATAAGGTAAAAAAAGCTCACCCCCCCCCCCCCCCCACAACAAACCTGAAAATCGGCCAAGCGTTACCTGTGAGCGAGCTCCCATTGGCACACACACCCACACTCAAATGTGCAGAAAGAGAGTTATTACACTTTTCAGTGTGATTACATCAATTTTCGTGTTTCGTTATTTATTTTGGTATCAAATTGTTTGCAATAGAATTCTCTACAGGAAAATATGCATATAAGGTAAAAAAACCTGGCATGCCACCCACATGGGGGGGGGGGTAAGCATTACCGATTATCCACTCAGTATATCCTCTTGCAGTGGTACAAGCCGGAGCATGGTGCAGCACAGTGCCACACTACACGACATGCACTTACACCTGGTGCCCTTCCTTTTACCAGACTTCTAGCAGACATGACACTTT